GAGAGAGAGAGCGAGCATGAGAAAAGAAGAAGCTTAAAGCAAGAAAACATTCTAACTTTGGCAGGGAGAGGGGCATCATTTCCCTGCAACGACACGTATGATGATTGAGACCGGAACGCCCGGCATGCGCCCTCCAGCCGCGACACCATCTGCGTCACTCACCGCTCGCGAGCATGGCCATGGGCACAGCGCCACGGAAGTTCTAAGGATCTAGAGAGAGTGGCTGTGACGTACCGAAAGTGCCGAGATAGAGGTCCTTGTTGCCGGAGACGCGGCCGATGCGCGCCTGCCACCGCCCGTGCTGGTGGTGCCGGGTCACGCCACGGTACATGGACGCGCCACGCGAGAAGCCGCTGCTCTTCCTGCATGCACGCGCCACTCAAATCACTCTTCCTTCCCGTTCACACACATCACGAAACAAAGATTTGATCTCCATCATTCTATATATATAGACCACTTCCATTAAATTTACCTTCTAAGGTGTGCCACGTACTCCTGCCTCGTCATGTTCTTCATCTCCTCCAGCTCCTGCTGGTAGTCCTCGAGCTGCACCAGGAAAACACCATGTTAGTTAGTAATCAAACTATGATTAAACTGAGAAAAGGTAAATAGATGTACATGTAATTTAAGGGCTTACCGGGAAGTTGATATGGGTGGAAGGCCCCCAGTACTTGAGCGCCGCCTGGTCGTAGGCTCTCGCCGCCTTCTCCTCCATGTCATACCCTCCTGTAAAGTAAAAAATAAACATTGTTTTAACCTTTTTACCACACACTCCCCAACAAGAGCATGAACACGTAGTAGTACCCAATAGTAGTACTGTATTACATTGCACTACTTACCGAGGTAAACTGCATAGCCAGCGGCCGAGTAGTTAGTTCATCACCATGCGGGGGACATTGGTTAACAAGCTTGGTTAGCCACTAATGATAGAGATAAATCTTGCTTTAGGGGTCGGTTAGGTTCAAGTACCTTGCCTCCCTTTCCTGGTCTGGCCTTCCTTCTTGCAGCTGTTGTCCCACAGGTGCGCCTCATACCGCCCCGTCCACCTATGCCTGCTAATTAACCACACGTTAATCTCCTGCTCTACTTCTTGCCCGGCTAATTAATCACGTGCTCATGGGGTGGGCTGGGGTGTACCTGGTGACGCCACGGTACTGCGACGTGCGCTGCCCGAACGTGTCGATGGACTTGCGGTGGTGCACCGGCTGCTTCTGCCCCGCCGTCGCGCCACCGCGTTTTCGCCCGCCGTCCACCGTCGCCACGACGCCGCCGTACTCGGCCCCCGCGGTAACGCAGCTGGAGAGCGACCCGGCGGAGCTCATGGAGAGTGCCAGAGGGTGGTGGTGAAGATGCTGCTGCCGGTCCGCCGCCGCGGACAAGACGTTCTCGGCTGTGGCGTACGCGGTGGCACCGCGCGCGACCTGCACCCAGTTCGCCATGGCCGTGGCTGCCGCGGCGTCCTCATCGGCCGCCAGCACCGATGCCGTTGCGGGCCCGCCGTACACGTCGTATGCTTGCTGCAGGAAGCCGCCGCCGTGGCTCTGTCCGTGTTGCCCACCTGCTCCGCCACCGCCGCTGTAGTAATAGAAGTTGGAGGTGTTGTCCAGGCTCAGCGCCATCGCCGGTTGCCCCGCGCCCAGAAAGTCCTCCAGCTTCGGACCTGGTTAATGAAACCGGAATCACGCCATGAACTCCAAGAACCTAATGGCTGATCTCGGTCGACGGAGGAAATATATAGGCGTATATTTCCGGTGATGAAGTACGTACCGTGGTGATCTTGTTGATCGGTTCGGCGTAGAGCTTCCATGATGCAGAGGGAGCCGTCTGACTTGAGAGGCATGGAGGCTAGCTGCGAATAGTACCCGCCGGTGGCGACGTCGCTGCCGAGGCTGTAGGCGGCGGCGACGGAGCTGGGGTAGAATAGGCCCTGGTGTTGTTGCTGCTGCTGCTGCACGTGGTTGTGTTCGTCCATGTGCGGCGAGAGCGAGAAGCCCAGCCAGCCACTCGCCGCCGCGTTGCTGCCGCCATTCCCATTGCCGTTGTTGTTGGTCATCCTGCAGAGCCAAGCTATCTGGCTAGCTAGAGATAGATCGACGAGAAAGAAGAATGAGTTGGAGGTCGATCGGTGGCGGCACTGGTGAACAATGGATAGAGATAGACCAGCTAATGGTCAATGCCCTCCCCGCATTGCTTCAAATGGAGATGGGGCAAGAAGAAGAAGTAGGAGGGAGAGAAGATGAAGATGAGGATGAAGGCGAAGATGAAGTGAGCAAGTGTGTTTTTGCGCGTGGCTTTAAAATAAGCAAAAGGAATGAGCTGAGCTGAGCTGCTCTCTATATGTGACCCAAAAAAAAAGCTCTTAATGGCGTTTATTATGACGATCAGACCAATACAATAACACACACTCTCTCTCATGCCCCAGCTTGGGATCTGTGTAGAACCCCTTCCCCCTCTCTCTCCGCTCTGGTCACAATGACACAAAGGAAAAGACGAAGGAAACTTGCATCGCATGGGCATATTGCTGTTTGTGTGTGTGTATACTGTATAGTATTGATTCTGTGTGGTACAGTATGTATGGGTGTAGCCATCAGGTAGCTAGCTAGGTATGCATGTAGTACTTTCGTTGTTGTACTAGGTCTACTAGCATTCAAGCAGAGGCATGTAGATACTGCACTGCACAACTTGTCGCCTCACAGCAGATGCAGTTCTCCTCAATGCAACTTTATTTCTACATAATTCAACCCATCTCTTTAATGGTTACCTTTAAAAAGGAAAAGAAAAACTCATGTATCCTTAAAAAACTGCAAGTAATCTACATGCATGTGTGTATACTATATAAATGGAAATGTTAACGCCCACACGTATGGGCGTTAGCCAACTCGTTCACACGCCTTCATTGCCGTCCAGCGCTTTTTGCACGAATCTTGGCATGAAAAGACTGAATTTGTGTGCCACGTAGGACAACTCGTGTGTGTGGCGTGTGAGGGAGTTCGCCCGCACGCCGTTTTCTCTCCGCGGTCAACGGTTCGCCAGTCGGGGCGTGCGATGAAATTAATGTCGCGCCCGCACGCCACACACCATTTCTGTTCCCCATCTCCCACGACTGCCCATTCTCCCACTCTCCCACACCCAGGCTGTCATTTGCCATGTCTTTTGAGGGGTACATGACAACTGCCCTATTTGTGATAGTAAACAGATGGCAACTCTTTTTCACCCGAACATGTTATTGTTGCCACGTCTGTTTGTAGCGCTACATGGCAACTGTCTAGTGTTAGTAGGTGGCAACTCCTAAAGATACCACCATCGCCCACATGCCCGTCTCCTCTCCCACACACCAAAGCTATCAGTTGCCATGTGTTTTTGGAGGGTACATGGCAACTGACTCTAGCGTGCTTGTAAGCAGATGGCAACTCTCTCTTTACTCGAAACATGCTTTTTGCCATGTTTTTTTAGTGCTACATGGCAACTGTCCAGTGTTAGTAGGTGGCAATTTCTAAAGTTTTTCAAATCATGGTAACTGTAGTAGACCAGACCATACATGGCAACAACTGCAGTTGCCCAAAAATGACATCCGACACTTGACCTAAGATGGCAACTGCAGTTGAGAAACCATGGCAACTGTAGTTGTCCGACATGGCAACTGTAGTTCAGCAACATGGCAACATGGCAACTGAAAAGGGTCCGGACCATGGCAATCGCGACGGGGCGCGTGGTTACTGACACGCAGGGCGTGTGACACACAGAACGTGTGGCTCGCAGGCGGGGAGGGGCGACGGCCGAGACGAGTCGTGTGGGCCGCGTGCTCGCTCGCCCGTACGTGCTCGCGTGGGGCGATCGTGCTGCACCGGACGTGCGGTCTGTGGCTGCGCGCGCCCGGACGCGGTCGTGCGGGCGGGGTCGTCTCCGTGCCACACAGGGCGTGCGGCACAACCACCCAATACACCACACGTGTGGCAGTTATCGACGTCCTATATAAATACCTTTTGATGCTCGGCCTACATGGAGATCTTTTTTTTTGAAAAATTCAAAAGCAATTGTTTCAATGATTCAAAATTTCTGAAAAAATAAATCCACAGTATCATATGGATGTATGCTCCATGTGTGCAAATTTTTATGATGAATACATTGACACGCGAGCTACAAAGAAAAGACAAATTGGTGATTTTGAACAGAGTGAACATTGCATGTACTGTTCACTATATAAAACCAATGGTTTTCACTTTTTTGTGTAGCTCGCAAATCAATGTTTTTTCTCGGCATCTTACACACATTTAGTATACATCCAAATGCCAACATGCAATTTTTTCAGATGTTTTTTGAACTTTGAAATGTGATTTTTTTTGAATGTTTCAAAAAAGGGCTCCATGTAGCCCGAGCAAACGTCGCTCTCATTTACTACCTCCGTTTCAAAATAGATGACCGAATTCTGTATTAACTTTATGTTAAAGTTAATACAAAATTGAGTCATCTATTTTGGAATGGAGAGAATATACAACAAATACAAGGGATAATGGGAGCACATCGGTTCGGCCTAAAGCGCCGCCGCATGGATATGTGAAGATCCACGTTGACACGTGCATTGCTAGGAGTCAAGTTAGGGGATCAGCAGCGGCTGTCTACCGAGATGTAGAGTGTAACTACTTAAGCTCATGTTTGGTGATTCATGGTATTAACAACATCGTAACATTGGAAATCATTGCTTACCGGGAGGCTCTTTCTCTAGCGGATGATTTGATGGTGCATAACTTCACTGTTGCCTCGGACTCGAAGCAGGTAGTAAGTGACATCCACCAAGGAAGCCATGGACCATTTTAAAACATTATTAGGGAGATTAATAATAGGGCATCAATGTTTAATTGCAAGTTTACTTTTGAAGGCAGAGCTGCTAACAGTGATGCAGATAGGTTAGAAAAGTTCTCTCATTCTCTTGATCAGAGGAGGCACGTTTGGTTGGTCCAACCACATGATCCCTTTGTAATTTCACTCCTTGTGAATTTCGAGTAATAAAACTTGATGATACCCATAAAAAAATACTAGCACTATATTACCGTTGATGCTAACCCATACTACAATGATCAAGTTAGTCAGAGAAGTATATTTCACGGAAGGGAAAAGGCATGCAGGTGTGAACTGTAAAATAAAAGAAATAGTTAAAATAAAAATAATTTTTTAAGGTGAACATGAACATGTCTTCTAACCACATATAAATTTTCGTCGAGAAAAAAACATGTGTGGTGGTCTAAAAAAGACTCTTCTTCCGCATAGACCATACAACACATGCCTTTTCTCCATGCAAACTTGCAAGCAATTAGACAACACCAACATATATATGTTTAGATATAAAAAGAAATTTTAGTGTAAATTGACATATCTCTATATATGGTAGAACATGATTTGTAATCCGTATTCTACCTTATCTTTAGGAGAGACTTCTTATCCTTGAAGGCTTGCACTATATATTTTCCACACGTATTATGTCAATTCCCCCTTCTATAATCCTTTTGCATAGTATCATACACAAGTTCCTAGACCTAGCTCCACCACAGCTTCCGCGTCGGACCGCCCCTCAGGGAGTTGGACCCATGATCTTCACTAGGGGGTGTGCAACCATCACAAACTTCTTCGTTATCCCCTCCAGTCGTAGTGTCGCCGGAAGTGGTCTATATGGCCATCCCATGTGGTAATGTATACCTTCCACCGTTTGTGCACGGTCTTTGTCACGTCGTTGGGTTCTTCCCCCTACTTCGAACAATGCCACCGTGCTTCCACAGGAAAACAATGTGGCCCCTTCAAGCTACCCCTGGTTCCGCATACAACCACTTATTCGTCTTTGTCTGGCAAAAGCTATTCATCAACGTCATCGTCTCTTTACTAACTACTTCGTCTACTATGACTTGGGCTATATTGGCACGTTCTACCATATGTTGTTTTGCACCACAACTATCATAAAAGACCTATGTGTTAGTGCCTCTAACATGGCGTACTATTTGTGATGGTCCCTGTCTATGCACACCTAGTACTGGTAACATCGACGTGTGACTTTGTCCCAACATGTCTTTGGGCATAGCAAACTTGGTAAGATGCCTCGTCTATGATGGATTCGACATCAAAACCCTCCTCAACAACTGCCTGGATCACATCTTCGTCTTCTTCTGACGCATCACAGTGTCCTTGACTCCATGACGCTTTCTTGAGCACATGGCTTCATGTGCAACTATCTTGATCATGGCAACCTTGATATCGACCATGACGTCCACTCGCACGGCTACCTCGACCATGGCTCCACCATCCTATGCTCTCTACTACCTCGACATCAGCACAAAGGGTTATCTTCTCGCTTAAGCACCTCGTCAACTTCTTCTACGGTCAAGGTAATCACGACGCGGCAACCTCCACGACGCTCCCAGTACGACTGCTAAGAGGATGTGTCATCCTGTTTTTTTACCTTTGGTTTCTCTCTAGTCTGACTATCCACATCGTTTGTATTGTCTGCGATGTTACTGCTATGACTATTTGTGATGTTAGAGCATATTGACATATTTGGTAGAGTAGTATTCGTAATCCATCTCCTACCTTATCTATAGGAGAGTCTTTTTACCCTCCAAGGCGTGTACAACACACAACGCATTAAGCCACCCCCTCCCCCCCTCTCTCTAATTTACTTACAAAAAACCACTCATATGTATGTCTGAATAAATGTATCATGAAGAGTGTGCATGCTCATATTGTATCTCGGGTCTGCATAACATCTTTATACAAGTGTATGAGTGAACTTTTCAGGATGATGTTGAGGCGGCGAAAAAAAAACACTTACAAAGTTGCATGTAGGTCCTCACTTAAAGCTATTAGTTTGTGACTCAAAGGAGGCAAAGTCAATGTCATATCTATTATTCATACCAATACTTGTTGTTTACTCATGTGACCTCTCACATGTGTGCAATTACAACGGTTCACATAGTATTCAATGGTTCACTCTTACCCTAAGCATATCTTCATAATATTGTTTACAACCATTTTAGTTCACATAGTATTCATGTCTCTCACGATTAAGGT